TCAAAAGAAATCGAGGTGAGGACGAGCTGGTGACCGACGGAGCGTGAAGGTAAAGGTGAGCCAAGAAAAAAACAGAACAGTGGAGGACAAAGAATACACAGAGGGTAGGGTCAGGGTTTGTAGTAGAAGGAGGAAGGAACACTCCTGACTGTATTCAGCATAGATAGACTCTAGACTCTGATCTCTCCACAGGGCTCCAGGTTTAAAGCTCCTCAGCAGCTTCCTCAGGACAGTAAATCATCTGATCTCTCCAGTGAGCATCTAACCAGCTGCACTTGTTGCTGTCAGAGGATGTCTTTGCAGATATTCCCTTTGCGATGGTGCCACTCGCCTCAAGAGCGCCACCTTCTCACAGGTTCCAGAGCCAGCCTGGATTACTGACTTGTCTTGTCACTGTCACGACAACAGCCATGAAGTGCTCAGAGTTATGAAGCACATCAACACCGCCAGCCTGGACCCATTAGCGTTAGCATAGGGAGAGCTTACAAAGCACGCCATATTTAACACGCTCTACCTCTGACTAATCTAGGAAACACAAAAACAGCGATGCCAGTGCAGAAGCTGAGGCTGCTGGATGTGGAAACTGGCTTTTTACAATCAGATCGTGGATTTCCCGACACAGATGGCAGACAGTCAAGATTTGGCAGCAACACATCAAAATCCACCTGAGTGAGCAGGTCTGCATCAAGGCAGTGTACCAAGTCCTCTCCTGACTCTGTTCCATTTGCCAGCTCATTACTGCTCTGCCAGATCTAACAACTACATCAGAAAGTTTGCTGATGATGTTGGTCTCACCAGCAATAGAGATGAATGTACAGAATGGGGGTGGAGCAACTAGCAGCCTCATGCAAAATTCATCATCTTGCCCTCAACACTCACCAAACCACAGAGAGGATTGTCAGCTGCACACCCCATCATCCTCCACTGGCCGGGGACGGTCCTGTCATGGAGGGGTGAAGGGCAGAGGTATTTCTGACAGATGATCTGGCTTCTAGCAGCATGACCACAACAATCATGTACAGGGCCCAAAGGCAGCTCCACCGCCCAGCAGACCTCCCCACTCCTGCCTTCATCACATTTTACAGAGTGTTTGGTAACAGCAGCAGGGAGGAGCAACGCCAGCTAAACAGGGTGGAGAGGAAAGCTAAAGACAAAGACTCTTAGTGCCCCTCTTGTCTCTTTGCTGGTGATTTACCACCAACTCTGCTTTCACACAGCCTCCAGCATCAGCAGACATCCCTCCACCCTGCAGTCTGGAACAAGGAGGAGGATCCACACAGGAACCACCAGGTTACAAAACAGCTCCTTCTCCCAGGCAGACTGTTAAAAGCACTGTTCACAGCAAACCATTATCTACCAACCTCCATCCATCTACCAACCTCTAACTATCCATCCATCCATCAATCTATCTATCTA